CGGTGGCCGCTGGAGCAACTCCCCCATCTCCCCCACTGCCCAGCTGAGCCTGCTAGAGCAGGGCTGGCCCACAGACACCAGGCGCCGGGGCTCTGACCCAGCACCAGCCGCTACAAGGGGACCTCACGATCCTGCCTGCATAGTTTCTACCTCTGGTGATAAGACTGGAGAGATTATGTCCCCGGGGCCACAGAGACCAGTGGCTGCTTCCAGCAGAGGCCCACAGAACAGGATGGGACACTGCCAGAGACAGGGTGTGGAGTAGACGGGCGTTGCTCGGGCCCCTGCCTCCCTCCAGCAGGAGCTCCTGGGGGATATGCCCATGGGCGCTGATAGGTGAGAGGCCGGCCTATGAGCATCTGCCCAGGAGGACACACCTTGGACGAGGCTGCCATTTCTAAAGAGGTTGAGCCCCAAAAGCTAGATCAACCAGAGGTGACCCCCAAGACCACCTGCAAAGCCTTGTTCCAGACTGGCAGCTACCAAGGCTCTAGCGGAAGTGACATCCAGGGTGCTGGCCACCTGCCCACCCCGGCTCGTCACCCACAGGGGGGTCGAGGTCTGCCTCGAGAATGAGGTGAGGGCAGCTGCAGAAGCAGGCCTAGGAGGCTCCAGAAGTCATGCGCCCAGGAAAGCCCAGCCGTGAGTGGCCCGCACCCACTGGAGCACCTCCACTCTGTTCCCAAAGGTCCCAGGGCCATGGGGTGTAGCAAGGATTTTCAGGTGCCCACATAGGCCCTGACATGCCAGGCGTGCAGGGCCTCTGCCCTCTGGACCGTTGACAGGCAGCCCCTGGGAGCCCCTGTTGCCTGCCTGTAAAATGGGTGAGGACGCGTGGCCACACCCTTCTCTGCCTCCTCCCTGTGGCTGTGAGCCTTCAGGATCACCCAGCGGAAGCAGCAGGCCCACAGGAAACGGCCTGCCCTCCCTCCTGGTTCTGCTCGGCCTGGCCCCCACCGGAGTGCCTAGCCAGTGACGCCAAGGCCACCACTGGTTTCACTCTGACTGGGCCGCTGGTGCTGGCTCCACCCCGGCAGCTGAGAACTGCTGAGCCAGCAGGTGAGCAGGTGGTGGTGGAGCTTCCCTGCCACGTGCCACACCCGCCGGCTGCCAGCTACCTGCCTCCAGCCCAGAGCCACAGTCTGAACCAGGCCTGCCAAGGACCAAAGGCACCTGTCAACATCTGAGAGCAGGGGCAGCCGTGGGGGTTGAGGGCAGAGCTCGGGCGGCAGCCGTGGAGTGGGAGCCCCAGTGGGTGCCTGGATGAGCTGCATCAGGGGAGAGCGTGCTGGGGGCCAAGGGGCCATGGCAGCGGCCACAGGGACAGCTGGGGGCTTTGGATCTCCCTCACGGACCTTCTGCCTACCTTTAGCTCGTCCCTGGACCCACCTTAGAGTCACACGGGTCAGGGAGCAAAGGGTCAAACCATCTCAGGCACAGGTGCTACGAGCAGAAGTCACAGGCAATGCCCCAGTTCCAGGAAGCCTGTCTCAGCTCCGGGCCTCCCCCCAGCTGGCTTCTGCTTTTCATTCCCTCTGTGAGTCCGGCAGAAAGGAGCCACCTCTGCTCCGGCTGTGGGCAGCTGTGACTGTCCCAACAGGAGGCTTGCAGTGCTGCCCCTGGTTCAGCCCTCCTACCCACTGGGCTTTAGGGTTTGCCCCGACCCTGCTGCTTCCGGTGCTGCCCTCCCCTGTGCTTCGGTTTGGGCATCTGTGAGGCAGTGCTGTCTCAGGGCTGGCACGGTGACCAGGTGAGCCACGCAGGTGAGGTGCCCGTCCTGCAGACAGCCGTAGTCACAGGTCTGGGCCAGGCCCACAGGGGTCTGCGATAGCATGATGGCAGCTGGTCCCCTTACCATCCTGCAGGGAAGTCCCTCATGGACTTCACCACGAGAGGGCCACACAGGACCATGCCCACGATGCAAAGAATTGTCAGGGGCTTCCAAGTTGGTTTTGCAAGGACGTAGAGCGAAAGCCAGGGGCAGAGGGACCCTGCAAGGACGTGACCCAGGCGGGAAGTTCCACATTCTTCTGTGGACTGCCCCAGGTCTACCGCTTCTTGCCGAGAGACGTCCGCAGTGAGGCCTCGAGCCAGGGGACGCATGTCCTCCCTGACTCCTGCCAGGGCCTCCCTCATTCTTTCAGCAGCTGCTACCTGAGTGCTGAGAGATGGGGCCAAGTGAGGACCTGCTTTCCAGAGTCTTCCACGGTCCTAGTTGGCCCTTGGGGCTGCCTTGAGCAAAGGCCAAGACAGCTGGATGCCACCGTGGGCCTTCCAAGACTTGCCTCCCACGGTAAGAATGCAGAGGGGCCTCCTGGCTGTGGGAATCCACCTGGACTTACTCTAAGGGGTGCTGGGAGAGGCTACAGGGTATGCGACAAGGGGCAGCAGCCCATCTGCCACCTGCCCTCCTCTTGAGGAAGCTGGGGGAAGGGCAGGGCCGACATGGATGTACCACCACTGCAGAGGGTCTGCCCGGAAACCCCTCGTAAGTGAGGGCTCACGCCATCACTGCACCCCACCAGCCACTGGAGGCCGGGCAGTGCTTGCAGCCCTCGGCTTTTGAGCCCTCACTGTTACTTGCAGCCACGAGTGGGAAGTAGGACAAAGCCCTGGCCACAACTCTGCTGCTCTGGACCCTCAGGCAGCTGAGCAGCCTCAAGCCCACTTTAAAAAAAAAAAAAAAATGCATTTGGGTGCATGCGCTCACCTAAGCGCGAGACAGTGAACGGGGAGAGAAGGTGAGAAAGCACCCCCCGGGGGGATGGCCACGCTGCAATCCCTTCTCCAGTCTCTAGGGATTTGGGGCCTGTGTGCACACATACCTGGCATGATTTCCAAGCAGCCTGCCATGCGGGAGTCCAGCAATGTAACCACTATGCCATCTGCTGGCCCTGGAACCCACTTTTACCTTGGGACCTGGGGCCTGGAGCTTACGAGTGCCTTGGTTTGCTTCCATTACCAACTGGGAGCAGAGGGAGGATGGGGGTGAAAAGCTCCGAGCAAACTGCAGATCCCTGTTGAGGGGCTGAGTGCCCACCAGCCCCATATCTGGACACGTGGCCTTATATTGTTTATGGAGCACACCCCATTCAGGCACACTGGTTGGTATAAAAAAAGCTGACCAACAAAGAAGACCCCCTGCCTTGTTCCAAATATTCCCATCAGTTTATAGGGATACCTAGAGAGAGCGAGGAGGGACAGCTACCACCGGACCGGAGTTCCACCAGCCACCACCTTGCCACTGAGCTTCGATGCCCCGAGAGAAGCATAGGTAAGTGCGTGGAGGGTCACTGCACAGCAACTCACGAGAGGCTCTTGGAAGTCCTGCAGCAGGGAAACCAGCCGAGCCCCTGCATTTCCAGCTGGTATCTCTCCATAGGCCCTGTTACCCACCCCAAGGTACCAAGGAAGTACTTCATCTTGCAAACTTTCCCTTGCTGTGGTTCCTTTTCAGCCGTTGCAAACCCAGGACTACAGCCGCCTGTTCTCCCACTCAGGAGCCCCGCAGGGCTGTGCCACAGTGCAGCAGCTTCTCTACTCTGAGGTCCTAGGCCCAAGTCCGCCTCCTCCTGTCCAGAGCACTCGCTTCTCCCAGCCTCAGTCTGCACTTCCGTAAAGTGAGAACAGTGCCCCAACCCTCCTGCCAGTTTGGGTGTTTCCTCCCAAATTCATACACTGAAATTTGGTTGTGGTGGTATTAAGAAGACCAGCAGTTGGTGTAATGGTTACGTCACTGGACTCCCATGTAGTTGACCACAGTTCGAGTCCTGGACCCGGTGGCTTAAACTCATACTGGGCGCAGGTGCTTACGTGCCCAAGATCCCGAGAGGAGAATGGAGGAGAAGGGATTGCGGCGTGACCATCCCCCCTGGGGGGTGATTTCTCGCTTTCTGTCTCTCTGTCTCTGTCTCTCTGGTGAGTGCATGCACCCTATAGCAAAAAGCTCTCCCCCCCCCAAAAAAATGTTGAGCCTCTGGGGAGGGATTAGGGTTAGATAAAAGTCAACAGGGTCTAGCCCCCTGTGACTGAGTTCTGGTGGGTTAGTAAAGAGGAGGCACGGGCTCTTGTCATGTGATGCCCTGGGCTGTCCTGGACCTCTGCAGAGTTCCTGCCAACAGGATGGCCCTCCCCAGATACGACCTTTGACCTCCAAGCCAGGAGCTGAAGGTCAATAAACCTTTATTCTCTATAAATGCCCAGTCTGTGATAATCAGTTACTTAGCAACAGAGAATGAACCAAAACGCCTCCCAGGAGAACCTGGTGATACAGTGTCTGCAGAGGAGCTCCTGGGGGACACGCACTGATGGGGAGGACCCTGGTCCTTAGGACCCAGCCTTGGAGCTCGGGGTGAAAGGCCGAGCTGGGGACAGCCTTCCCAGGCCGTCACTCCCCGATACTGACGCACAGAAGCCCAGAGTAAACGGTTGTGCTTCTTGCAGAACACGCTCCACGGTGGAGAGGACAGCAAGAGCCAGTGCTCGCAGGCAGAGAGCAGACCGAATCCCCCAGATGCCAGGGGCCAACTGGCTACAAGGGATGCCACAGGGCCCCTACCCTCCTCAGTGGGCACCTGCCATGTGCAGATGCTGGGCCAGGCCGCCCACCCAGGTTTCACTGTGGACCTCACAGTCCAGTATCTTCCCAGCTGTTTCCAGGAGGGAGGTGGAGCTTAGCAGCCCGGGGACCAGTGGACGAGGAATGTGGGGAGCAATGTGTGGGAGTGAGCCCCTCGGACCCTACAGTAACCCACCTGGCCACCGAGGGGGCAGCCCTGAGCTTTGAGGGGCAGGGGGTGGTAACAGCCAGCCGAGGTTCGCACTTCCACATGGGCCCTGGGTGGGTCTGAAACCCCTGGCTCTGAGCTGGCCGGGTCTGAGGAGGGTCAGGAATGCTGGGCAGGGAGGCCGAGCTTGTCCTCCCTTCTCCCCAGCCTCTGCAGGCACCAGGGGGCCACAGGAGACAGGGGAGGGGCAGGGAGGGCATGGCTGAACGGTGGGTATCTGACACAGTCCAGGGGGCCAGAAAGCTGGTGGAGCCCTGACAGCGGAGGTGTGGCCATGACACGTGCTACTATCGCCGGGACTCCCTGAGCCCGCCTGGCAGGGAGGCCTCACCACCGCCCTGGTCTTGGATGGGTCCCAGCCTGCTCCCTCGCCTGGCTGGCCACCGCTGTCCCTCAGACACACAGGGCAGCTGGACCCTCCGTCTGGAAGGTGGCTCCTCCGAGACTGAGGGCTTGGGGCTCGGCTAGCTGAGTGCCCCTCCCCAGGGGGGCCTGCCCTCCCGTCTCCAGGCCACCTTCCCCCTTACAGCCTGTGGACTCCAGCCCGGGGGACCGCAGGTGTGCCATCTGGTTTCTGAGACCAGTGGGGCACGGCTGTACCTCCCATCGCAGCCCCTCCAGCTTCCCAGTGGGGATTCCAGGCTGGGCAGGCAGGATACCTGGGAGGAGGGCACCGAGGCAGGGCCACAGGCTGTCAGGGAGGAGCCCCATGGTCCTGCTCACCTGCTCACCCGGGCCAGCCCAGCCCCCTGCACTCCATCTGCAGACCAAAGCTCCCCCTCCAGGGAGCCCAGGCTGCAGTCACCTCCCAGCTCCTGTGGGACCGTGCCCCTGTACTCGCCGGGGCCTGCGCTGCTGGTCATTCTTCCCTGCTGAGGCAGCGGCCTCCACGGTGGGGCTGGGAGTTCCTCTTGGGGACCAGGGGCAGTGCTGAGCCCTGCTCCCAGCTAGGGCTCAGAGGAAGTACCCCGTTTCCATACTAGGGGGTGCCAGGGACCCTCCCCCTCAAATGACAGAGTAAGTCATCTCACCCCTTATTCCTGCTCCCTTGTGGGCAAAGAGCAGGCAAGAGGCCAGGCCCAGGGGCGGGAAGGTACAAGAGCTGCCCAGCAAGCGGGTTCCCTGCTGGCCCCAGCCAGGACCTCGGCCGCCCTCACAGTCCTCAGATCCTGCAGGGGCCGCTCTCCCGTGTGACCTGAGCAAATCACGGCACCTCTGCGCCTCGGTTTCCTCACCAGTAAAATGGAGGAACAATGGAGCCACTCCCAGGGTGCCCACACCCCAGGCAGCAGAGGGCCTGGGGGAAGCCCAGCCTCTCCTGGCCCACCTGGGCTGGGCCCCCACACGGCTCTTCCCCTGCGGTCTCGTGCTCTCTCTCCCCACAGAGGAGCAGGAGAGGGGTGGGAGAAGCTTCCAGATAAGCCCCATCGGCAGGCCAGCCTTCTCCTTTCCTGGTGAGAGCCCCTCAATGCCAACACCAGGCCTCCTCAGCCACAGAGGGGCAAAGACAGAAACCCCCTCCCCAAATGCAACCACCCTGCTCAGACATGGCCCCTATGACTTCCCCGACTCCTCCAGGCAGGTGGCGCCCCTGAGCAACTGAGTATGGGGACAGGTAAGGGGGTGTACCATCTTCCCCCCCAACCGTGTGGGGGGGTGACTAGCCAGAGCTGCTGGGGCCAGGGACGGGCTGAGCAGGACAGATAGGGCTCAACCGTCCAGAGCAAGCCCCCTCAGCCTCATGAGTGTCCCCCTCCCCATGTCAGAAAGACAGAATCACAGTGACACCGACACAAAGCTCCCTCTCAGAATCAGAGGCTACACGACCATGGTGACAGGGACACAAAGCCCCTCTCAGAGCCTGGAGCCAGAGCCCAGAGACCCCATACTGAGAGATGGAGCCTGGGACATACTTCCATAGCCATCTGGGACCCCATCCTTAGGACAGGTGCCCACCTCAGGCTGGGCGGAAGAGAGAGTGGCCCTGGAGACCCTGCACTTCCCCTACCACGTGGGCACCCACAGACACGGAGTGGGCACCTTCACCCCACAGTGGACAGGAGTCCAGAGCCCCAGCCCAGGAGGCCCCCTGAAGGGAGGAGTGGGCAGGGAGCCAGAGCCACACCCCAGGTGCCTGTCCACACCAAAACCCTGTTTGGCATGCGTCCACGCAGGGCACGCTCCCGCCTAGCCGTGGCTCTCAGGCTGCCTGAAAACAAGACACACATGCCAGGGCCTGAAGCCCAAGGGGCCACTCACCACCAGCTCCACTCAGTGTCCCTGTGCCCAACTGGACAGAGTGGCACCTGTGGGAGCCACTCCAGGAGCATGCTGCCTCCTGCCCTTGGCCGTCCTGCGCCACCCGGGTCTTCGCAGGAACACTTCCCGCCTGGAGCTCCTGCCTAGACACACCTTTCCCAGGAGCTGCTGCTGCTGGCCTGCTCCCAACCACTGCAGCCCCCCACAGGGGCACTTCACACGGCTGTGCCAAGCTGGACATACCCACGGGTTCCAGGCCCTCCCAGAGCGCCCTGCTGTGAAGGCTGTGCCCTGTGCAGGAGGACAGTGGCCAGAGCTGCTGGGGCCAGGGACAGGCTGAGCGGGGTGGACAGGGCTCAGCTGTCTAGAGCTTGCCCACAGAATGAGGCCCCTCAGTCCCATGAGGGACCCCATGTCAGAAAGACACAGACCCTGGGAGCCTACAGGTAATGTGGTGGTTAAAGGCGCTGGATTCCCACATGTCCAACCACGGTTTGAGTCCAGGACCTGGTGGTTTGCTTTCTTGCTTTCCCTTTTTGTCTGTCTCTGTCTCTGTCTGGTCAAATTAAAAAATGATGATAACAGGGCCGGCAGGTGGCGTGGTGATTAAGGTGCTGCACACTCCCACACGGCCAATCACGCTTTGAGTCCCAGACCTAGTGGCTTGCTTTCTCACTTTTCCTCTCTCTCTCCCCATTTCTCTCCGGTCAAATTACAATAAATGGAGATCAGCAGTTAGCATAAGGGCTATGTCGCTGGACTCCCATGTAGTCGACCACAGTTTGAGTCCTGGACCCAGTGGCTTAAACTCATGCCAGGCACATGTGTGTGCATGCCCAAGATCCCGAGTGGAGCATGGAGAAGTGAATGCGGCATGGCCATCCCCCCGGGGAGTGATTTCTCACTTTCCGTCTCTCTGTCTTTCTGGCAAGTGCACACACCCTATAGCAAAAGCGTCTCAAAAAAAAAAAAAAAAAATTACAATGAATGAATGGATAAATTAAATAATTTAATAATTTTTTTAAAAAATTGATGAGTCCTGGCCACAGCAGCTCTGGCATGTCCTAGAGGCAGCCAGCCTCCCCAGCCAGGGCTTGAACAAGGTGCCCAGCCTGCCACAGAGCCAAGACCAGCTGGGGACTCCCCAGCCCAGCAACACCACCCTCAGCTACGGCCCCTCTCCGTGCCAGGCGAGGGTGGAAAAAGCTGTGGTTAAGAAACAACAAACAACCTCTGTCAGCAGCTCCGGTGGGGGTGCAGCAAGCGTGGGGGAACCGTCACCACCAGGATCCCCAAGGCCCCGGATGGACGGCGGCCGCCGCCTGCCTTCGAAGAATGATGATTCAGAAGGAGAGGTGAAAACGAGAGCTGTGGGGCTGGCAGGGCGGGGGGCAGGAGAGGGCTCCCACAAGCCGGCAGGGCCTGGGCCTGCCAGGTCCTCTCTCCGGCCACCAGGTAGCACGGGGCCCCATGGCCTTCAGAGCACTGTCGGACATGGCTGTATCATGTTACCTGTAACATGTGTGTACTGAGCACTTACCACAAGCCAGGCCTGGACATGGTGCCTCACCGACATCACAACAGGAAATCACACCGGCCACAAAGAGTGAAGGCCAGAGGAATTAGCTAATTCAAAGTGAAAAGGGAAACCAGGACAGAACCGGACCGGAACCTAAGCAGTTCTTTATCTGATCACAGGATGGGGAAGGTCTGTGCAGAAAAGGCAAAAAATAAATCCACCGAGGTTGAGGACAACATCCCTGCATTTTACTGCCTGAAACGTGAAGACCGTCGGGACACTCAGAACCGAACTGGAAAGTCAAATGAGAAACGAGGGAGGTATCGGCAACACGAGGTGGAGCTAGTAGCCATGCTATGTAAAGAGTGCTTGAAAGTCAACAAAGCTGGCAGTACAGGGGACCATGCGAAGTCACAGCTCCGTGAGCCACCAAAGGAAAAAAGTTTGTTACCAATAAATGTAAGAGAAACAGTCAAATCTACAGGGTCAGGAGGTGGATTGGTGGTTGCCAGGGGCTGGGGACAAAGACAGTGAGGACTGACTGCTAATAGAGATGGGGTTTCTTTCTAGAGTGATGAAAATGTGCCAAAGCTAAGACAGCACAAATGGAAGCCACGCTGCGGCACTGAGGTTTAAGTCCTGATCCCAGGGACGAGAAACGCAGCTGGTGCATGTGCCTGTCTGCCCCAGACCCTGACAGGGTGGGGAAACGGAGAAAACGAATTGCAGCACGAACATGCCTCACTCAAGGGTGTTTTCTCTCTCTTCCTCTCGCTGGAAAAAAAATATTTTTTAAAAATAATTATTTATTGAATTCCATTTGTTTTTATCTTATTTATTTTATTTATTTATTTCTAAATTTGACCAGAGAGGGACAGAGAGAGAGAGAGAGAAAGAGAAAGCAAGCTGCCAGGTCTGAGACTTGAACAGCAGTTGACCATGTGGGAGGTTCTGTGCCCTTAAACACTACGCCACCTGCTGGCCCCTATTGTTTTTTGTTTTCTGTTTGTTTTTGTTTTTTTTTTAATTTGACCAGAGAGAGAGAAAGAGAGAAAAGGAAAGCTAGAATGCAAGCCGCCAAGTCCGAGACTTGAACCACGGATGACCATGTAGGAATCCAGCACCTTTAAACACCACGCCATCTGCTGGCCTCAAAATTAAAAAAAAAAAAAAAGAGAAAAAGCTTATGTGTATATGAAAACTCATAGCAGTAGTATTCATAATGGCCAAAAAGTGAAAACAACCTAGTATCTGTCAACCAATGAATGAATAAATAAAATGGGTAAGCCCATCATGCAGCGGAATACTGCTCAGCCGTAAAGAGGAACAAAACATCGACCCACCTGGGGGACCCTGAGCACGTGATGCCGAGTGAAAGACGCCAGACACAGCCAGGCATGACATGCGCCCATCTGTGGGCAAGGTCCGGAATAGATAAATCCAGAAACCGAAAGTCCCGGAGTGCCTGCCGGAGGCTGGGAGGGGGATGGGGCGCAACTGCTCGCGGTACAAGGTCCCTCCTGAGTGATGGAAAAGCTCTGAAGTCAGATCTAAAGGCAGCGGAGATTGCACAACTGTAAATACACTGAAACCCCGTGAACTGCACGCTCACCACCAGCCGGTTTTATGGTGTGTGAGTTCTCTCTCCATGAAGCTTGGGGAGAGCGAGTGGGGGAGGACCCAGCCTCCTTCCAGGGACCCAGCCTCCAAGCCAGCAGGAGCAGGAGGTTACCTCTGTGCTAGTGGGAGACTGAGGAAGCTGAGGTCTGGGCCTAGAGGGGACCAGTGATCCCCACCACCCCCCACCACCCCCCCGCCGCGGTTGGGCCTGGCCGTGTAAACAGTAGACAGAATTAAAATGAAAAAGGCTTTCTGCACTCTTGAAAAATATTGAAGAACATGGAACGATGTGAAAAAAGCAGGCAACAAAACAGCGCCAGGTCTGCGGGGCTCCCGGGGGCAGAGATCGGGTCCCAGCTTCCTGCCTGTGTCTGGGTGCCGGGGTGGGGTGCTGGGGCTCAGATGTCTTCTGGGGAACAGAGAGGCTGGGCCAGGCAGGAGGCCAGGGGACGAAAAGGCAGCTGACAGGTATGTGCCTATGCTCTCCAGACTAGGGGACCGACTAGGGGACCGGGGACCCGGGGACGCGTTTGTAACTGCCAGCAAGAGCTTGATTAATTGAAAACAACATGAATGCCGCGGGAGCGCTGGCAGGCCTGGGCGGTTCCAGGGTGGCAGAACTCCCAGGTGAACCCAGCCCTGTCCCAGAGGTGCCCTAGGGAGAGGGTGCGCCTTCTCTGCCACCTCTGGCTTCGCCCAGTGACCCGGTCCCAGACAGCAGCCACTGTGAGGGAGGGGTCTGGGTGGTGGCCCTGTGTGTCCCCTGTCCCC